GTGTATTAGCATTTATATTATGAAAGACAAAATCAGAAGGACATTAAATATCGAATCAGACTTTCTACCATTAAACCCAAAACTAATCATCAGGTGTCAGTAGAACAATAATACAACAATAATTACAAATAAAGCTAATATTTATTAGATAATTCTTATTTGCCAAGCACTGTTCTAGGATTTGTCACACCAAGAATTCTAATTATTATCAATAATTCTAGTTTAAGTTAAATTCTAGTTTGGCTAGTTAAATTATTATCCTCGTTTTATAAATATAAATAAGTTACTTGCACAAAGTAAATGGTAGAGCCAATATTGGAAAGTAAGTCTTACTCTAGGGCCCATGCTCTTTTATTTAAACTACACAGCCACTGGTATTACAATAGCAGAAAGATACTGTCTCAAGTCTGCTTCCCTATAAATTAATGTTGTTAATTTTAACTTAACCTGGTTTAACCAATTCAAGCTGAATTTGTAAGTACATTTTGTATTTATAGCTATGTCAGAACTATAAATTTTATGTTTACATATATTTAAGTAACATTATACTAAAAATTATTTAAGCCATTAGGCATAAAGAAAGCCCATGAAAATACCTTTTCTTTCAAAAGTTTGAGAAAAATTTCTTTACAGGAAAAAAAAAGTATGAAAGGATTACATCACTTTTCCAAAAGATGACAAAACCAATTAGTAGCAAAGTAACAGTGAATGCCTAGATTCCACCTGACTTCAGTTATGACAATCTACCCAACAATCCTTGTAGACTCTCTCTTTACAAGGTTCTGAACCTTTCAAAGAGTTTGTTGTTGCTGTGTTTTAATACCACTAGATCTCAACTGCTGATATAAGACAAAATTGACATAAGAAGAAACAGAAAACTTAAGTAACTATGTAACTACAAAAGAAATTGACTTAAAAAACCTCCAAAAAGAAAGCTCAGGTGGTTTCACTGGTCAACTCTACCAAACATTCAAGGAAGAAATAACACAAAATTATGCAATATTTTCAAAAATATGGAGGAAAGAGAAAGCACTTCCTTCAACTTGTTTGAGGATGCCAGCATAACATTAATACCAAAACCTGACAAAGCCAATACAATAAGACAATTATAGATCAATATTCTTCATCAGTACTAATGTAAAAATCCTTTACAAAATGTGAGCAAATGTAATTCAACATAGTAACAGTCTACAGGGAAAAAATCCACACAATCATTTTAATAGATGCAGGAAAAAGCATTTGACAAAATTATGTATCCATTTATAATGAAAACTCTTAGCAAACTAATAATAATGGTAGAGAATTTCCTCAAACCAATAAAGAGTATCTGTGAATAATCTATAGCTACTATCATACTTAATGTAAAAGACAACTATTTCCTTTTGATATTAGGAATAAGGCAAGAATGCCCACTTGTATCACTCTTATTCAACACTGTACTAGAGGTCCTTGCACTAAAATAATATAGTTGGGGGTGAGCGGAGGAGAAAAGGCAAAAAAATTGAAACAAAAGAATTAAACCTGATCCTATAATGTATGTAAATAACATGGCTGTTTATGCAGAAATCACCAAGAATTCACAAAGCAACTGCTACAACTCATAATTGAATTTAGCAAATAACAGAAGATTAATACTAAAAGCTCAATTATTTTCTACATATTAGAATAAAATATTTCAAGATTATATTTAAATAAATTCTACTTATAGTAGTCCCAAAATATATGTCAAGTAGTAATTCTTACAAAAGATGCCCCAGACTTCTATACTAAAAACAACAAAACAATGCTGAGAGAAATTAAACATGACCTAAATAAACAGAAAGATATATCCTATTAGTGGACTGGAAGATTCAACATCATTAGGTTTGCAGTTATTCCCAAATTTATCTATAGGTTTGATGCAATTCCAATCATGAAGGTCTTGCAAGTCATGTTAAAGGCTTTAGTCTTTATTAAAGAGATGAAGTATTATATGGTTATAAGCAAAAAAGTAACTTTAGAATAATTATTCTGATTATAGTTTGAAGAGGTCAAGAGTGAGGCAAGAATCTAGTTAAGAGGTTTGATGCAGTCATTCAAGTAAAATATAATAATAATCTGGCTTGGACAGTGGTGGACAGATGAAGAGAATAGATCTGAAAACCAAGTAAGAAGTAGAAGATGAAAGATTGGATATGTTAAGTGGAAAGAAGGAAGTTATAGATTCCAACTTGAATATTGAGAAAAGGTTTCACTTATGCCATCTTACTCTGAGGGGTCTTTAACACACCAAAAGGAGGGATCAAACAGACCACAGGATTTACAAGTCAGGATAAAGATACTGCCAGGCAAGGTGGCTCACACCTGTACCTGCAATCCTAGAACTTTGGGAGGTAGAGGCATGAAGATAACTTGCAGCCAAGAGTTGGAGACCAGCCTGGGCCACATGGTAAGACCCTCATCTCTAGAAAAAAATTAAAAATTTAAAAAATTAGCCAGACATGATGATGCATGCCTCCAGTCCTAGCTCTTGGGAGGCTGAGTGATAAGGATCACTTGAGCCTAGGAGTTCAAGTTTACAGGAAGCTATGATTGTACAACTGCACTCCAGCCTGGGCAACAAAGTGAGACCCTATCTCTAAAAAAAACTTAAAAACTAAAAATATATACATATATATAAAAGAAATTATGCTATAAATATTAAACATCTATGAGCATTTTTGCACCATCTTATCATAGATAATAAAAATTCGATATACAAAAACACACTGACAAAAGGCCCTGGGAACGCTCAGTTTGAAGAGTTTAAGTTCACGTAGGGATTATACTTCTTGACTTTCTCAGTAAGCTTATCCTCATGGGCGCTTAATCATAGGATGTTTGATACTTCAGTCAAATCTGCTCAGAGGTTGAGAGATGTGCTACTGAGCCAACTGATGGCTAACTTTCCTGTATTTCAGAAGTTATTATTTTGTCCTATGTTTAATATGTCTTTCATCATTTATAAAGAAAGTTGAGATGAGGCTGGGTGCTATGGCTCACACCTGTATTCCCAATACTTTGGGAGGCTAAGGTGGGAGGATCACTTGAGCCCAGGAGTTCAAGACCAGCCTGGGCAACATAGTGAAACCTTGTCTCCAGAAAACAAACAAACAAACAAACAAACAAACAAAAAAAACACAACACACACACAACTATTTCATTCCCTTTCATCTTATCTTATACACACACACATAAAATTATATATATATACACACACATACGTGTGTGTGTGTGTGTGTGTGTGTGTGTGTGTGTGTGTGTGTGTAGATAGAGTTAAGATGAAAGGGAATTAAATGTTTGAGCTTAAACTGTGACTTAAAACACATTCATAAAGGCTAGGTGGGGCCGGGCGCGGTGGCTCACGCCTGTAATCCCAGCACTTTGGGAGGCCGAGGCGGGTGGATCACGAGGTCAAGAGATCGAGACCATCCTGGTCACCATGGTGAAACCCCGTCTCTACTAAAAATACAAAAAATTAGCTGGGCATGGTGGCACGTGCCTGTAATCCCAGCTACTCAGGAGGCTGAGGCAGGAGAATTGCCTGAACCCAGGAGACGGAGGTTACGGTGAGCCGAGATCGCGCCATTGCACTCCAGCCTAGGTAACAAGAGCGAAACTCCGTCTCAAAAAAAAAAAGAAAAATGAATACAGAAGGAAGTCAGACCATTCGGTACAAAGCAGAGAATCAGCAACATTCTCCACCAACCTATGTAGATAAAAGCTTCTGGGTCTCTTAAAAGGGCCTCACTGTAAGAAGTTGCAAACATTCTGAATAGGTAAGGATCACACTAGGCTTTCTAGAATCTCAACTGCCTTCCCCTAAACTCAGACTGATGTGCATAAAACTTAAGAAATTCTGCCCACAGACTATTCTGGGTGTGTGTGAGCTACCCCCTCATGTGAGCTGGCACAGTGCAGGGGTGAAGAGCCTGAAGTCCACTGCCAGATGGCCTGGGTTTAAATCCTAGCTCTGGCCACTTGTTAGCTACGTGACCTTGGGCAAGTTATTTTACCTGTCACTTAGTCTCCTTATCTGTGAAATGACAATAATACTGACCTCATAGTGTTGTTATGAGCATTAAATGAACTTATATCTATAAAATGTGAAAAAAAAATCACTTGGTAATTGTTCACCTGAAATTAGGGGCTTTCTCCCCATTTTGGTGGTCTACCATGTAACTACAGAGAATAATACACAATACAGCACAATACACTCATAAAAGAGTGAGGCCTAGACAGAGAACATATACAATACAGCACGGTGTACTAGGCACAAATGAGGTTTTCATTTAACATTCTGATTTCTTAGACTAAAGTCACTCCTAAATTTAAAGCAGCATTATAAAACAAGGCTCATTTACCCAGACATCTCCGTCTCTGGGAGCCATGCAAATAGGCCCTTAGACCAGCTATATGATCTATTCTGCAGCTCTTTAAACCATCAATCCCAGAGTTTATTTATTTTTGAGGCAGAGTCTCATTCTGTCACCCAGGCTGGAGTGCAATGGCACAATCTCAACTCACTGCAACCTCCGCCTCCTGGGTTCAAGCAATTCTCCTGCCTCAGACTCCTGAGTAACGGGGATTACAGGTGCCCACCACCATGACTGGCTAATTTTTGTATTTTTAGTTGAGATGGGGTTCCACCATGTTGGCCAGGCTGATCTCAAACTCCTGATCTCAGGTGATCTGCCCGCCTTGGCCTCCTAAAGTGCCAGAATTACAGGCGTGAGCCACCGAGCCCAGCCCGAGTTTAAGAGAAATCATATGGGCTTTTCAGTAGCATTTCTTTTCAGTAAGTATTGTATGACAGTGGGCCACTAGGCACTGGGAATACTGTTGTTAACAAGACAGTCATGAACTGTGCCCATATGGAGCTCATGGTAGCAAGGCAGGAGGAAGCAAAGAACTAATGATACAAGAAATAATTTTGCAGCAGTTCTACTAATAATTTTGCAAAGACAATATACTGAGTGCTAAGAGAGCAGAAAACCATAAAAAAACCTGTTCTATTCACAGAGTAAGCTCTGAAAAAGTGGTATTTAAGCAAAGAGCTGAAGAATTAGCAAGAATTCACAGATGAAGAAGGGATGGGACAGACAGAGAGAAAAGGTTTTTCCAGTCAAAAGGAAAAGCACAACTAACAATCCTAAGAAAGATTCTGGAAGTCTTTCATGATACCTATCAAATGTTATCCGTCGTTAGCAACTACCCTGCAACATTCTAGCGTCCCACATAGACTCAGGATAATAGATGCCATGATCTAAAGTAATTCTTACCCTGACCATTTGTACCATACTTCACCTATCCGCCTCCTAACAAATGCTGCTCACCAGCTCTTTGACAGATTGATCCAGTTTAAGTTCTAACTTGAAATATAGTTATGTGATGCAAACTAGTTATACCTTTGTTAAGAAAATTAATTTTTTTTAATCCAAATTGTTTATTGAGATGGTTTCTCACTTATCTTGATTCAGAGTGCTTTCAGTGCTGCTTCCTCCTGAAAGAACATCCTACTATAAGCCATGATTTTTCTCCTGCAGGCTGGCGGAGGACAGTGGAGCAGCCAACACACACAACTACCATTTGTGCATGGCTAAAGACCGTGGTGATTTTATAGCATCCTGGGCATTTCACATCCATGAAGTAGGAATTGAGGCTCTGTACCAGGGACTTCTTCTTGTGTTTCCTCTTCTCCTCTTCTGGAGAGGGATGAAGAAGATCCTTCGCGAGAGGCATGTTCTCGTGGGTAGGTCGTCACCGCCAGAAAGCGAAAATTAATTTTTAAAATAATTTTTAATATAATTTCTACTGTCATCAAAAACAAACCTTCATCTTAGTCAATAATTTGATACTGATACTGTATCAAAAATACAAGGCCCAATGTGGTGGCTCATGCATGTAATCTCAGCATTTTGGGAGGCCAAGGCAGGAGAATCACTTGAGGCCAGGAGTTTGAGATCAGCCTGAGTAACATAGTGAGACCCTTTCTCTATAAAACATTTTAAAAATTAACCAGAGGCAGTGGCACGAACCTGTAGTCCTAGCTACTTGAGAGGCTGAGGCAGGATAATTGCTTAAGCCTAGGAGTTTGAAGTTACAGTGCACTATGATCATACCATTGCACTACACCCTGGGTGACACAGCAAGACCCTCTCTCTTTAAAAAAAAAAAATAATAATAATACAGCTTCAAAAGTATCAGTGCAGGACAGGCCAAGGCAGAAGGATCATCTGAGGCCTAGAATTCAAGACCAGCCTAGGCAACACAGTAAGACCCTGTCTCAAAAAAAAAATCAGTGCAGATATCTAAAATACTTACTCATAAATATCTCAAAATTCCTAAGAACTTCCCCCAATTATTTATGTTTTTTAATTTCTACAATTTATAATAAGGTTATTACACACTATCAGAAAAGGATTAAAATGAATTGTAATGGCATTCCACTCACTAAAATTGTTCTACATGTGATGACTAGCAATATTATTCAATCACTTTTTAAAGTGGTTTTCCCATCAATGGGCGCGATTTGACATGATGATTCATACTTTATAGCCCACTCAAAGAAGTATAGTAAATAGAAAACCTAAATATTCTGTCTCAGAGTGAGTGATGTTTAACATTTTTAATTGCCTTTAACATAGCCTCATTCTCCTGATGGAATTTTCCAAGGCTTAAGAGTAACAGTGTCTCATGACAAAGGATCTGTCTCCGATGCTTGAAAATACAGCCTCACCTTGGTAAAGAAACTATAGGCAGGCTGATCCCAGATTTCAGAGAACAAAGTGAAATACATGTGCCTCCCCAGGATCCACTGGAACTGCCCTGGCCAAGGTCATCAATAACATCCCTATTAAGATATTTCATTGCCACTCTTCAGTCCCCTTCTCTGGGCTCCTCAGCAGCAATCACAGCTATTCTCTGCCCCCCTTGAAACCCTCTCTTTCCTTAGCTTCTATAATACTGCCTTTCCCTATTCTGCTATTAGTTTCCTTTGCTAGAGCACATCACTCTATTTTGACCTTTAAAACTAGAGTTTATTTCATGTGTTTTCTTCTCGTATTCTCACTAGATGATGCTCTCCTCCACCCCTATGGTTCTGGTTATCAGACAATATACAAATTAATATCTCAATAAACGGCATTACCATCCCTTCAAATGCTGAAGCCCAAATCCTGCAAATCACCCTTGACTCCAACACGTTTCACATGTCTACAAAGAAGAACCTGCAGGGCTGGTTTTCAAAACTACTATGTTTTACAAAGCTTCTCGTTGGCATTGCTGCTACACTTCTGAAGGTGTAGAAAAAAAAAAAGAAACATTCAGACATGTACTTTATGCAGAGTGGGTGAACCTTAAATTAGCATTTTAAATGTGGTAATAAGTTAATATTATATAACACTTTGTACCCAAAGTGTTGTACCCAAGTTTTATATAATATATAAATTAATTCTTATATCTTCACTAGCTCTCAGGAAGGGAGGACAGGTCTTATTACTGTGAAATATCTGCTCATGGAAATGAGATCTGAAGCTACGGTGTACATCATTTTAATAGCCCCTCCATTCTGACTCTTATTTTTAGGTATGTGCATGGTGAGTGCTGAAAGTGGTATAATTGTTCCAGATGAGATGGTGACTCAGTGACAATGTTGGGAATGTGAGTAACCTATATTTATTCATTAAATGAAATATTTTAGAAACTCGAAATAGGCTTAACAGACATCAAGATGACTTGAATTTCAGGTCACTGGTAATAGGACTAAGCCTCCCAATTTGAAGCCACAGCACTCATTCTAGAAAATATTCAAAGAAGGAGGGAAATTATTTTCCTGAGAAATGCAAAAAAGAATTAACAAACTGACATGGTTTTGGCTGGGTGTTATGGTCCCTTTGCAAAAGCACAAAAATGTCCTCACCTCTTCCCATATATTTCTAGAATGTTTATTCTGACTCAATCTATTTGTCTATTTTACAATTATACCATTTAAAATTACTGTAGCTCAATATGTTTTTATATTCAAGAAGGCAAACCCCTTCTCATTATTCTTATTTTTCAAAACAGTTTTCTAATTCCCAACTTTTATGCAAAGCATCCAGTATGCTATATCATATTAAATATGATATTAGGTATTTATTCCTAAAAAAATTTCTTATACTATGTTAAAAATGTTTTCTGTGTTTCTTAGCTGGAAAAGCTGTTGAATTTTATCAAGTATTTAGTCAACTATAAACATGATAGTTTTGTTTTTCATGTCATAAGTTACATTTACAGATTCCTCAGTGTTGACCTACCTCAGATTCCTATGGCTACTTCTCAATTTCTGTCAATGGCTCATCACTCTCACTTGGATCTTTAAAACTAAGTTCATCAGTGGTCCTGGCACTCCATTTCTCATGGTGCTGTCTCAAGAGATGATGCTTTCATCTACCTCTGTGAATCTGGTAAGCTGAGATATATTCCCTAATGTTTCCCTAATTAATATCTCAGTAGTTGGCAGAGACATCTTCCTGGCTGCTGAGGTCTGAATCACAGAATTAGATTTCTAAATATTTTTAGGATTTGAGGGATCATTATGCAAACACACTGCTTAGGGGCTGGACAGATGTGTGCCAGTGCCAGGCATCTTTCTGCTCTGTGATCCTTTTCTAAGCCCTGAATGCAGACTATAGGAGAGTAGATATTTTGCCCAGCACTGTGTCTTCAGCACCTCTAACAAAACCTAACACAGAGAAGGCATTCAAGAAACACTGAACAGGGCTGGGTGTGGTGATTCCTGTAATCCCAACACTCTGACAGGCCAAGGAGGGAGGATTGCTTGAGCCTGCGTGTTTAAGACCAGCCTAGACCCTCCCTGTCTATAAAAGATGGAAAAAATTAGCTTTGTGTGGTGGTACATGCCATTAGTACCAGCTACTCAGGAGGGTGAGGTGGGAGGATCACTCGCGCCTTGGAGGTCGGGGCTGCAATGAGCCATGATTGCATCACTGTCTCAAAAAACAAAAACCAGAAACACTGAATGAATACTGAAGGAACAAATTCAATTGAGTTCTCATGAACTCTGATTTGAAACATGTCTACCCACCTGTTTTGTCCATCTGTCAGCTCAACCTTCTCTTTAGCACTGTGTCTCACGGCCCTACTACCCCCTGCCCAATCTGACAAGAATAGAGGGCACTCCTGCCTATTCAGGATTACATGAAGCACAGCAATTAATCAGAGAGGGAAGGGCGTCAACAATCCAACTGCAACATTCACTAGATTCAAATCTTTCAAAAGTACACATCATTACTGAAAACTGACTCAGAAAGCCTGCTACAATCTTTTGCCTAGTGGGCTGGACTCAGTGGCTCACACCTGTAATCCCAGCATTTTGGGGGCCTGAGGCACTGCTTGAGGACAAGAGTTGAAGAACAGCCTGGGCAATACAGTAAGACCCTATCTCTACAAGAAAATATAAATAATTTTTTAAAAGAAGCCTGAGTGAAGAGAGGGCTGTACTATATACAATCTACAACAAAATTGGAGAGCAAAACCTGTGAATTAAGTAGGAGTTATGTGAATAGAAGAATGCATGTATATTTGGTAGCAAAATTTTCAAAACCTAACCACGTTCCCCTCAAAGAACTCAGCCAGTAGAGCTACCTGTGTGCAGGCAGCAGACTTTGCCCTGGGTATGGAGGAGTGGTAGAGAGAAACCAAGAGCTGGGTCAACCTTGCAGGTGACAGGGACAGAAATCCAAAGGCAGCTGAGGTCTACTTAAGGGAGATACAAGATGCCATGCAGTGTTTTAAATTTCATTTGGTGCTATGGTTTGAATGTATCCCCTTCAAAATTCATGTCAAAACTAATCCCCATTGTGGTTTTAAGAAGTGAAGACTTTTTTTTTTTTGAGATGGAGTTTCACTCTTCTCCCCCAGGCTGGAGTGTGCAATGGTGCAATCTCAGCTCACTGCAACCTCTGCTTCCCGGGTTCAAGTGATTCTCTTGCCTCAGCCTCCAGAGGCAAGAGGGATTACAGGCATGCGCCACCATGCCCAGTTAATATTTATATTTTTAGTAGAGACAGGGTTTCACCATGTTGGCCAGGCTAGTCTTGAACTCCTGATCTGAAGTGATCCATCCACCTTGGCCTCCCAAAGTGCTAGGATTACAGGTGTGAGCCACCGCGCCCGGCCAAGAAGTGAAGGCTTTTGGAAAGCAATTAATAGAATGAATAGATTAGTGCCTTACAAAAGAGCCTGAGGAAACTAGCTTAGGTCCTTCTGCTATTGGTCCCCTTTCTGCCCCTTCTGCTCCTCCTCCTTCTTCCATGCAAGCATACCACTGTGAGAAGACAAGAAGATGCCATCCATGGAGCAGGCCCTTACAAGGCACCGAACATGCTGGAACTCTGATCTTGGACTTCCCAGCTTCCAGAGATGTGAGAACTAAATTTTGGTTCTTCATAAATTACGCAGTCTCAGATATTTTGTTTTAGCAGCACAAAGGAGCTGAGACACCTGGTTTCCAAGAGGCATTTGTCAAGGTCGGAGGGCGAACACCATGATCACCCACTCTGTGTGGTGCAATGCCTCAGTCTGACTTGTTCCTCAATTCTCCCACTTGCCTGGCCTCTGCTCATGTGATCTCAGGAATGTCTACAGCAACTAAAACTGTAAATGAGGTCACTCACTCTTAATGAGATGCTCCTTCAAAATGCTGCCTGGAGGTAGGCTCTAAGACAGATGCTTTGTGCCAGGAGATGGAACAAGCAACCACGCCTACCACCTCCAAACCAGGCCTTACTGCTCCAGTTTTGGGGATGGTCTATGTTCCTTTTGGAAGAACTCACCCACTAACTTTTCTGGGAGGGATGAAGTTAGGGCAGAAGACTTTTCTTCAGCTTGTGTTAGGTGCTCAGCACTAATTAGCT